AAAATCTCGACTTCCTTTAATTAATCGTAGAAAAAAAGGATGCTCGAGACATGGTCGTAAAAGATTGAACAATATAGTCATTGTAATTTATGTGTTATTTTTTAATGACAAAATTTTGCGCCAAAACAAACGAGTTTACGAGATCATCGGATATGCCACAGCGACAAGTCACGCTTATATAAATGTATGCGCATCGCAGACTCGTGAGAGGAAAAAAACATGCGTATAGAAACTGATATACCAATACTTCAAACTACTCCTCTTCGACTCGCTCATTAATTTCTATGATTTATGCACGAATACTGTGCATCCACATGCGTGCTCGGAGTGAGAAAGAGAGAGAAAGGAAAGAAAGAGGAAGAGGAGAGACAGAAAGAGAACCCAACTCCCTCTGCGCAGCAAACTCGTTATAATCGAAAAATCGCGTCAAGCTTCGAGGTGAGAGAGACAAATTTAAAACACCTCTTGAGATTAGTATTCTCAGCGGAGCGCGTGCAGCAGTCTGCGTCCGTATGATGATAAATAAACGAGTCGAATGACTTCATGTATTTTTGCGAGAAATAAAAAGCGAATTTCGAAAATTTAATTTCGCAATAAATGTGTGTCTGCATAACCATTGCTGCAGACAAAATAATATATTTGCAGATTTTATACGTACACATAGCTACAATTCATTTCGTGGAAACAAATTTTTGTTATTACACAAACAGAATTTGTTCAATTGATGTTTCAACAAAAAATATAATTTAAGCATGAATTTCAATGAACTGTTATGCACATTCAAGTAGAATTTCAGTTCTTTACGATGAGAATTTTTCACATTTCAACAAAAAGTAAAATTTGATATCATCTAGCTAAAAATGTATGCCATTATTATAATATTTATAAATATATAATACCTGTTACGAATTTTTATAACACCTATGATGAATTATAATGAAGAAGTAGCATGAACTTTACTTATACAATTTTTCGACTTTGCCGCTTGCAGGTTTTCAGATACAGGTATTTTGCCACCTAGTGATGAGGGCTGGCTTTCATTTTGATGGAAGGTTCATAAATTTTTTGAGCGAGGTAAATCGGTACTGAAACGTTAATTTTCTATCAAAATTGTTTCATAAATCAATACTGATAAATTAATTTTTAACGAAGATGGCATGTAAAAGAATAAAATGTACTATCAGTTACTTTCATTTTCAATGTCTGATTTTACATTAACTCGTACAAATTTTTACAACAACGCACGTTCGAAACTCGTACGGCCTTATAGCACGTGAAATGCATAAACTACCCTGTCGTTTCTCTTCGAACCGGGCACTTAACTACGTCAATAATTTTCTAAAAAACTGCATAAATACAAATGCTGCGAAAGATGAGTAATCAATCGAAAGTCGTGAAAAGTACTTTGGCCGCGCACATATCCAAGGTTGCATATTTGGCATCCTTTATACACGCGAGAAAACCACAAAGTACTGCGTGTGCATCGTCGGGCACATTATCGTGCTCGCACACACGCACACACACACACACATACGCTCACGTTCGCGCATTTTAAAAACCTTCCGAAAAAACGACTCTCGCGCGCGCTTCGCGTTCAACGTAAAAGGGCCTCTCGTTCGTTCTGTTTTCCATGTCGGCGCGTTCGCGCGTACTTATAATACTTGAGTAAATTCTACAGCCCGCCGACAACTGAAATTTCAGACTCTTCTCTCTCTCTTTCGTATATACGGCCAGTATACAAGCCTACTTTATATATAAGTTTAGCAGCGTTGGTGCACATGCAGAGGCAGCAACGGAAGAAGCGTATACGAAGAAGATACAATGAGAGCTGAGGAACGCCAAAGCAGTTATAGGCAGATGATGATGAGACGAGAGAATGAGAATGAGCTGAGAGAGAGAAAGAGAGGATTCTGGTTTGTGGGTACAGCCCGTTGCCCTGCAGCCAGCAGCCCCTCAATTATCATAATAGTCCTTCTCTCTCTCTCTCTACCTCAACTCCCTCTTGGCGTAGTAGTAAGAGCGAGAGAGACAGACAGAAAGCTGAAAACCTTACCTCAGCGCAAAAACCTCGTTAGGCCTCTCTCTCTCTCTCGCGTGTGCAAGTACACAGACAATCGTGTACGCGCGAGGCTGAGCATAGACCAACTCGCAGTTCGGAAAATCAACCCTTTCATCTCTGTACATCTGTTTTTGCGCGGATTTACTTGGATTTTTGACAAATATTCTGTGCGCATGTGTAAACGTCTTGTATACGTCCAAGAGATGATAACGAGTATAATGTAAACAATAATTCGAGTCGATCGCCGCGGGCTATTAAATGCCTTTTTCGCGCCGCGCGTGCATTTTTCTTTTGACGCACAACACGAGAAGTGTCCGCGTTCAGCGGGTTATAATCCTCCTCCACCGAAGAAAGAAGACCGAGAGAGCACGAGAAAGAGAGAAAAAGAACTCGGCGCGTTGTGCACTGCAGCGCACGCAAAGAATATAATATCTGCGTATGTCTACAGGCCACTTAGCATCGCGGCAAATTATGCTGTTCACGAGTAATGAGATTTTATTAGTGCAGTGTATAATACCTGCTGCACTCTGTATATTGTATGGTTTGTTTACGTGCAGCAGCGGCAGCAGCAGCAGCAACGCTGGAATGTCTCGGGCTCTGTGTGAGCGCATTTGTACTTTGGAGTCGTGCAATTTGTAATTAAATACAGGTAGGTGCAGTATTCCGGGGAAACGAGGGTAAAATGATCGATGTTTTATCATACAAAATTGAAAAATAATAAAAGGAAAACAAGGAGGATATAATTGCGAGCGGAAACAAATCGAGTTTCATTAACGAGTCATCGAACGAGCTCGCGCGCCTCTTTCGAACCCAGTGAACTGATTTTCATTTAAAACGAAGTCTACACGATCATTAGCGCCTTCCCGGAGAGAGAAAGAGAATTTTTGTGCGCAGGTTATAAAAGGATCAACGAAAAGTGCAGCTACAGCGGCACTTTACTCGTCTATAAAAGCCGGTAGCTATAACGAATAACGTAGCTCCACATACATACGATGTAGGTATATATCCGCGTACGTGTTTAAGCTCGTGCTCCACTCACACATAAGAAGCTCCACGACGTTGTAATCCTCTTCGAAAGCGCGCGCGGACCCTTTGATGTCGCGTGTGTAGTAGCGCTTTTTTTTCTTAAAAAAAAAAAAAAAAAAAAAAAAAAAAAAAAAAAAAAAAAAAAAAACGGAAAAAGAAAAAGAGCCAAGAATAAAGAAAAGAAAACCGGTGTTAATTGCAGGTCGACGGAGATATCGGCCGGCTTTATGTCGTCAATGATGCATGAGAATAGGCAAAGAGAGCCGCCGCGTGACGCGTACACATACACACACACACACACACACACACACACACACACATTACACACACAATAAAACTTGAACTGCACAAACGTGTGCCACCAACAGTAGGCCAGCTTTAATGTTATACGCACGCGTGTGCATGCGCGCAAGCTCTATATTCCTTTATTATGATCTGATTATGCACGCTCTCTTTGCATAAACGATTTATATAAAACGTCTGACGCCGCCGCCGCTGCCGATGGCTACTGCCTTTTCTCTCTCACTCTCTTTTGAGCTCGAGTTCGCGTTGGATGAAGAGATAGGAAAATGTATATAATACATAAACGCGAGCCTGTGTATCGTTTTGTCTACAGTTCGGAATTACGCGATATTCGCAAGAAGTTTTGCGCGCGCTCGGCTCTTTGCAAGAGAAAAATTAATGAGAAACTTCCGAGGAAAAGGTGCGGGGTGAAGAGAAAAAAGTGTTGAAAGAGGCAGAAACTGCACGAGGGTGTTCATCGATTGTTCAGTTGTATTGTTTGGTTCGCCCGTGATCAACGAGCCATCGAGCTAGAATTGAACATTTTTATCGGTTACATTTTGATTTTTGCTTGTACAGTGCTTGAGCAACCTCAATGAAGAAGTCAGATACGAATACTTTTTAATTTATTGATGAATTCTTTTTCGTCAGTGGTAACAATCTGTTAAAAATTAACTTATCGAAGTATACTTACAAACAAGAGTTTTGATTTTGTTAAATTCATAATAACTAAGGTTCGTAGTCGATTGGAGTCAATATACTTTGCAGCGGATAAGCTGAATTTTCACATTGCGAAGGTTTTTGAAGTAAACATTTTTAAAATTTTAGTATAATTGACGAAATGTGGGTTAACGGGGTATTACATTAACGAAAAAATGAATAAACGTTTGAAAAATTTTATTAAAGGATATTTATGTATGAGATTTTCAAAATTACAATGCGTACTTGTCAGCGTAGAAATCTTCATTGGGCTCAATGTCTCGAAACTAATCTCGCATCAGATGATTGGCTTTGACTATGAACTGCTTTTACATCCTACATTCAATGGAATTGTCCTGAATATGTACTGCACTTGTGTTTCTTGAGGTTACCATTGTATCCAAATGATTTGTGGCAAATTTCACATTCGAAGGGTTTGCTCCGATTAGGTACTATACTAATATGAATTTTAAGATGTTCCTCTCGAGCAAATGATTTGTGACAGATTTCACACTCGAAGGGTTTTTTACGTTCATGTACTAAATTTATGTGAGATTTGAGGTAACTTTTTTGCCCAAATGATTTGTGACAGATGTTACGTTCAAAGGGTTTGCTACGAACATGTACTTCATTTATGTGTCTTTTTAGGGTACCTTTTTCTCCAAATGATTTGTGACAGATGTCACATTCAAAAGGTTTGCTTTTATTGTGTACTGTGTTGACGTGAAGTTTGAGTTGACCTTTTTGCCCAAATGATTTGTGACAGATATCACATTCAAAGGGTTTGCGACGAACATGTACTGCATTTATGTGACCATTAAGATGACTTACGTATTCAAACGACTGCGTTGTAGTATGTGTTTTTAAAATCACTTTTCTTTTATACTTTTTTCGACTCATTTTATGTCTACAGGATACTTTATTTTTAGATTTGTTTATAAACATTTTAATCTTTTTATGTTTGTTAATTTTTAATGGGGTATAATTGAAATTTTTTTAAATCAAAATCATTAGACTTTTGTATTCTAAGTATCTGGTATGAATAGAGTTTTCTACTTTCACAATAGGTGCATAGCTCTGATCGTCAGTTTTACTGATGGTTGTCAATAAAGACTTCTGTTCAGATTTAATACCTTTGGACTCGAAATCAATGAATATATTTTTATTCATGTCATCGGTCTTATTTTTGTTTTCCATTTTTACGATGGGTAGAAAATTTTGATGCTCAAATTTGCATAAGTTTGTCGAAAATGACATCGGTTCAAGCTTAACATTTTTGTATTCAACATCTATGAATATTTTTTCATTCATGTCAATAGGCTGATTTTCATTTTCTATTTTCACCATAGGTTCACAACTTCGGTACTCAGTTTTGCAAACTTTTGTCGATAATGACTTCGATTCCGATTTAACATATCCGCACTCAAAAACTATGGATAAATTTTTATTTATTCTCTCTGGTAACGCTGCATTCTTATCTATGTAATTTGCCTAAAACAAAAATTGTATAATAGTTTTGGGAGAACAGAATATAATTAAAATCATTAAACTCACTGATGGTTTATCAAGATGGGATGTTTCAAAGTTTTCGGCTTTGCAAGAATTCATGGAATCGAAAAAATGATCGTCACTTTCTATCGTCAAAATTTGGCTCGGATCCTTTTTCATTCTAAAGAATAATTTTATTTGATGTAGTGATCGTTTAGAAAAATATCATGATATGATAAAAAAAAGTAATACCTAACTGTGTCATCTTTATTTTCCATCACTCGGTTGATTATGTGTAACCACAGAGTAAATTTTCACGAAACACACCGAAAAAATATTTAAGGTTATGTGCCTTGAGTGGAATAGACAACACTTTACCTCGAACTCACCAATTTGTAAACACTAGCTAACTAAATGTAGAATGTAGTTTCTCTACTGTACTCTTGCGTCTGCACGCACTGCTCGTATATTGACGAGGCGACCCTGCGATTGTGATAGCTCCTTGGCGATAATTTCCCCCTCTACCGTCGACTGGATGTACGCATTAAAATTACATGAAAATGGTAATCATTGCAGAAGCATAATTTCTTTACACGTACATATGATTTATTCGGAAAAACGTTCACGCAAACGAAAATTGAACTTATTGTGGCACGTGATTGTACTGAGCACGTTTTTTTTTCTTCTTCTTTAAAAAAATGATGTGAAGTCGTTTTATTCGTCACCTCATTGGTCGAGGAGTAACTGCGCCTCGCTTGATGATTGGTCGGAATCTCGCGCCGGTCGATCATATAATTATTTTAATGGGAAAATTTAAAAGTGGCGTTTGCTTAAATGTTTATATTTGTAAATCATTGGTAATTTTAATTTTAACGTGATAAGTTGGCGTGCGCGAGCGCGCTTCATATCACTAGTATTTTAAATTCTCGATAATGTAATTGAGTAGGGGCAAGATTTTTACGGGTGTTGCACGTTGAAAGGTGCCAATGTCATTGAGAGTCTAACTCTTTTTCAACTCCTAAATAAATATGAGTATATCTCCGAGTGCATCATTCTTGCTAAAGCATTCATTGCAGTTATTTACAAATTTTTTTCAACATCTTGCGGCACTTCATGGGCTAGGCACTTCGGAACACGTACGTATACTTCATACAAACATACAAATATCCGTAAGACGTGAAATCTCCGTTACCTTACCCGCGTGTCAGTGCCGTAGTCGGCGAAATGGAGATGCAAAAATCAGCCCGAGTGTTTGGTGCATCTCGCGCTCGACATGACTTTATGTGTACCTTACCCCGTGCGGCGAACATTTGCCGCCTCTCGCGGATTAGGACCGACAAAGAAACACCACACTATATGTACGTATTAGTGTGCGTGCTGTGCATGAGAGTTCGTGACTCTTTGCCGCCGCTGATGCTGCTCCTGCTGCTGCACTGTAGTCAAAGTTTCGCGTGGCACGACACGCGCGGGTAGTGTGTATACAGAGCTCCCAGCTGCCTGGGAAAAACGAAACGCAGCGAATTAAGTGCCCTCTCGACTGTTTTTGCTCGACTTTGTACGACGAGAAGTTGGACGCGATTTTCAGGCATACATCAAAACTACGGTAGCCCCGCCAGTAAAAAGCTTCGTTGGTTACTACGAGCAGCGCGCAGTTTCGTTTGTCTACATCGATCAAGGGTTTTCGGCTTTGTCTAGAGACGGAGCAGCAACAAAAAAAAAGAGTAAAAAGCCCCGTTGAAATGTTGTTGCTGTGCACAGAGCGAGACGAACATGCAAAATCCCGCACGACACAGTGGCGAGCGCTAATTTAAAAAGACTTTGTGCATAATTAGTGCTACTATACACAGAGAGGCAGAAGAACACACAATGCTCAAAACTGATATGAGCTCTCACACGGCAGTGCATTTTCCCTCCGACATTTGTACAAATGTATGCTCAGGCTCGAGCTAGAAAAACTCCACAGGCATCTGAGTGGAAAAATAAGTATATCTCCTCGCGCGCGCAAAAATGCCTAGCTCGGCTCGAACTTATCTTTGCGAATTGGAGCGATAAGGGGCGAAAACAAAGAGCCATATTCCTATTTATGAATGCCTGCATACTGCTACGTTGCGCATCCCTCGCAAAACGAGAAGCGAAACGCTGCCGCGCATTATGTATATCGCGTTCACAACCTCGCGATTATCGGGGAATTATTTACGACTGTGCACGTGAGTAGCAGTGCGGCCAATGGCATATATCGTTATATGCATGCAAACACATATAGTGGTACAGCATAATGCGCAAAACACACATCGGCGAAAAATTAATTATATTTTCAAGCGCGAGCGACGTCCCGAGAGAGGAGAGCTCGTTTGCGGATTGATTGGCGTAGTGAATTATTGCGTACGATACATATACACGTGCGCACGAGCTGGCGATCCTCTCGAAAAAGGGAGTAAAACAGCTCGACGGTTCGGGGGCTATATATACCGGAGTCTCTCTAATAACGGCCTGTGTAGCAGAGCAGCGGATAATAATCGTGGCCGTTTTCTCGGGCCACGTCGTCCTCGTCGTCGTCGACGGAAGAGATACGAGTTACCCGTGTGTGTATGTGTGCATCGAAGAAAGTCATATATTTTTGCAGAGCACGAGAACGAGCTAAAAAAAAGAAAGAGAGAGATGCAACGTGGGAGGCATACGGGCCCCGTTTCGAAAATGCGTAAATTTATATTATAGATAACGAAGAAGTATACATATACCGCTGCGGTGCAGTGCAGTGCGCGCACACGTCTCGTAATGTTTCCGCAAATAATTACATTAATGCACGAGGAGAACGAGCGACGTGCAGGAGTATATAGCACAGGATTTGCGCGAGGGAGCATATACATTTCCCACTTTTACGGGAATATTTACATAGAAAAAGCAGAGAGAGAGAGAGGAGTCGTCTACATAGAGCTGAGAAAAATAAAGAACTCGTAGCTCTCTCTCTCGCAACTCTATTGGATTCCGGGAGCGCGCGCGTGTGCATATTTGCAGACTCCGCATATACATATATAATATAACGCAGTAGTGGTGTGCAGCACACGTGGAAGAGAGTCAGAGAGAGAGATGCAAATATTCAAGTGAAAATAATATTGTCGAGCGAGCGCAATTTCCTTCCAGCTAGTGTATAACGAGATTCTCTTACTATTCTATATAGCGTAATAACCGGCGCGCGCGCTAGCACGAATTACATTCATATTCAAATGCACACGCGTATATATTCATTTGAATGTCAAAAGGCTTATATTCAGGCTTTGGGATAGAGGAAGAGAGACAGACAGAGACAGACAGACAGCCTCGAGAGCTGCAGGTACCTATTTATATAAATAAAATGCATCGATGCGAGATTGTTATTTCGAGACATAAATTTCGAGCCAATAAACGTGTATCCTATTATATTATGCACTTCTCGATGTATAACTCTCACGCGGATATATAGAAGACAAAAAATTCTGCCTTCGAATGTATTTGCAATAATAATCTCTCTTAACTTATCGCGACATCCTGTCGCCGCTGCTGCAGTAGAAAATGTCAAAACAGCGAGGTCGACTCGTATCAAATTTCATCGAATTCGGGATGGCAGAAATTAATATTTTTTGTCGGTCTACCGAGAATCGAGATCTGCCGCTGCTGCTGCCCAGAACAGTCGTAATCTCTGCTGCGACATTATCCTCGTAGTTGTTTATCTCGCAGGCAAAAAAAGATGCATCTCGCAGCAGCATAGATCACGATAATGTTCGTCGATGGTGGTGGTGGTGCAACAGCGTCAGCTATATAGTAGCACAACGACTCTAGGATTCGCGCATCCCATTGAAAATGGCATAAAGAGAGAGAGGAAAAGAGAAGAGTTTTGCGGCCAAAGCGCAGAGAAATCCCAAGAGCTGCGTTGGAAAGAACGAAATGCCCTGTGTGCTGCTACCTTGGCGCGCGCACCTTTTGTTGTGTGTATAACTATACTATACCTTTAACATATTTGTGGGTGTTTTGTATACACGAGGCATAATGGCGGTTGGCCACTAGTTTCGAAGGAATTCCGTGTAAAGCTCTCGTGCTTCGCAAGACTTACAATGATTCTATTAATTTTCGAACGTGAAAAAAAAGGTTACTCGGTGCCATTGCGTAATTCGAATGACTAACGTAAAATTTCAAATGATACTCGATCGAATCGTAATTGAGCATAATCAGTTTGTTTATCGTACGTTATTGAAAGAAATTTGAAATAAAAAAGGAACAAATTTGAGTAGATAGACGTTACCTGAACGAATATTCATAAATGAGGATAGATTCAATTTTTCACTGACGAGGGACGACCGTTACCGATAAAACAATTGAATTTCGAATCATCGTCAGTTAAAAATTTTCTCTTTCGTCGTTTGTTTTTTTGCTCGCAATTCAACGCGATTACTTCAACGAACTTCTAGTCGGAAAATAGAGCAGAGGGTTTACTATTCAGCAAAAGCTCCAAAGTCAGGTACAAATACAATCGAGTAAAAGCAAACGCGGCTTTCAGTTTTTCTGCGCTCTCCCGCTTAAACCATTCGAACGTTTCGACTGCAGCCGTTGGACGTTGGAAAAACGGCATAACGCCGGTGGAACGTACACACCATTGTATGCACTGGGCACTGGATATGTATACACACTGGCACTTACACATATACACGTTACACACTCACTCACACTTACACTTACACACACACACACACACACGCACACACACATATATAAAAGCAGAGTCCATTATTCACCGCAAAGTATGAAGCGCGCGCCCGCGGAGCGAAGAAGAAGACGAAGAAGAAGAGAAGAAAACGAGCCTCCGCGCAACTTTTTTCCCCCATGCTCTCGAGAGTGTTTGATGCACACACACACACGCGTACACACATACATATAGACTCGTATAGGTGTGGAGGCCGAGTAGTACAAGCGAACTCACGGGGCCGGACTCGCGCGACTCCGTGAGCGCTCGGGCGGCCTCGGCCTCACCGGCAGCGTGGCTCGCTCGCTCGCTCGCTCGCTCGAGAGAAGCAGCATAATAATATCGCGGCAGTCTCGAGACGCTGCTCCGCTCATTCCGGTTTCAGTCTGAGTCCGCCGACCGATGGCGGCCGCACGGCCACGCTGAATCCCTCCTCGACGCTCGTCCGAGTCTTCGCGTACTATACTATGCTATAACTACTACTACTGTTATATACACGCTGCTAACCCTGCGTTGAGTTGAACCCTCCGTGCGTGCAGTGTGAGGCTGCCGAAAATTCGCCCGTGTGCGTTCGGTGCTGCGTTGTTGTGTACTACCGCTGTGCGTGTGAATCGCATACGAGAGCGAGAGAAGCTGTGCTTACTGCTACTACAATATACGCTGCACCGCGTATAAAACATAACCTCGTAGTGCGTACACCGCTGCCAGACATTTCGCTCGGTGCGCCTGTGTTTTGCTCCTTAATTTTCGTAAACAACCACCTGAATGTCTATGTAATTTGGCCCCGCGCGTGTGCTCTCTCAAGTGCATCCATGTGTTGATACATTCCAGTGGTGTACTGTTGTTGTTTTACAGTGTGCAGTTGTTATAGCGAAATACAACCAGAAGAGCATATAAAGCAAAAAGAAAATAAACCTTTTTTTGTTATCGTTGTTGCTGTTGTTTGGTAAATACACTCGACATTCGTGGCAGTGTACGTGTGAACTTGTGCGCGCGCTGTTTTAAAAAAAGTATGTAAACTATCTCTCCCGCTGGATCCTTATCTCTCTCCGTCGTCTCGGGGGCGAAAATGCACGCAGATTCAAATACGCAAAGCTGCAGCAGTAGTAGGCGAGTAATACTGCGTTGAGAGAAAACTACATACACACAAACACGCAAGAGGGAGAGAGAAAGTCGTCGTCGTCGTCGTTTCTTCTCTGTTTCGCGCGCGCGAGCGGAGCGGAAGATATATAGATTTTTGCATCGCGCAAAACCGCACCACGACATTCTCTCCTTCGCAGCGAGAGAGAGAGGCATATAAATATACAACAACAGCATTGGCAGGCAATATGACGGCGATCAAGATGCTGCTCTTGCTGCTGGCCGCCTGTGGCTACATGGCCAATCCGGCTGCTGGCTTTTTCAACCTGTTTCTCAGCCAGACCGAAGTTCACAAACTAATGGGTTAGTATATATTCAGTCGCATACCTCTATACATCTATGCTCGTGTCTTTTTTGCACGTTTTGTCGTCGTCGTGATCGTTTATGTTGTTATTGTTGCGGTTGTTGTTGCCAGAGCCTTCTCTGCACTCATAATCGCAGATTAGATATTTCGCGACACCTCCGCTTTAGCTCCTTAAGGCTTATTTACGCCCGCGTATAAACAATCGCGGCGATATTGTAAAAATAGTCTTGTGCTTCCTGCCGATCGAGGCCTGGCGATGACAAAAATAAACGCCCACACGTGTGCCGCCTGTGCACTGACTCGATTCGTATTTGTGTACATTTACACGCTAAACGTCATTCATACGGCTTGTCTAAATCAGTAATTTTACTCGCGCGGGGATAAATTCGGAGTTGCTCCGCCGAGTCTATTTCATTAAGAGCGGCAATTAGTAGCTGTCAGTCTTTCGTACCTAATTAAGAATTCCGGAGTCTCTCTATCTATAACTTCCCTCGTTTTGGTGAATAAACAAACGGGTAGAGTGGGCCTTCTTTGTTGATTCAAAGTTACGTAAAATTAAAAAAAAATAGCCGAGGATCAAGCTGCAGGGCACGCTCTTATGAAAAGTGCACGAGGTCGAAAACAAAAGCCGAGCGGGATTCTCCCGCAAATTGAAATTTCTCTAGCTCGCCTAAGCGTTTTTTCTCCCTCCCTCTCTGTGTCTCCTTTTTTTCTCGAGAAAACTTAATGGATTTGCGTTCGCTCTCAGGGATGCACATCGTTTGACATTTACTGTCGTTTTGATGCTCTTTTTTTTGCTTTTTTGACTTCTCGAATCGACTTGAATTCTTGCCTCGCTCGATTTGTTATTCAGATTCGTTGATTTCCTTGAACGCGCTTGGATCCAGTCTGCGTCTGTGTCATCCATACATAATATATATAGTATAGTACTACGCATATATATCGACGCACAAAGCTCACATATACTATACGAACTTTTTCACAAATGGATTTTTTTACGACTTTGATTTTCGCAGGAAACGTGCGCGTGAGTAGTCGCACATCGATGCAGAAAAAGAATGTAGCATCATTAGTTTTCGGTTGACATTTGACCGATGATGCGATTCGATTATTCATTAGGCTCTTGCGCCTTATATTCTTCAAAAAGTTGACAATCGTTTTCTTTCTTTGACATTTTCTTGACTCTACTCGACGGGTAAATTTTTCAAACAATTTTCTATCATTTGTTAGCGCTGACGCACACGTGTGTAACGGCAACACCTCCGGCTGCTGCTGCTCTGCTTCTTCTTCGTCTTCGTCTTCTTCTCCTGTATATTTCATTGGCGATATATAGGTACGCGCGCGCCTTCAGGGATTGCCGCGCCGCGTCATAACTCGAAAACCTCGATTGGATAAGGCAAGCCTCGAATGCAGCACTCACACACGTGTTCTTCCCTGCCCTCATCGCGAGCGTAGCACACCTTTAATATTACTCTCACACAGACACAGAGAGGCGTATACATACACACAGACTTATGAAACTGAAAGAGACTCCGAGAGAATGAAAGTGCAGAGCACGCGCGCACGCGAAAACGAGCCGAAGAATTCGAATTAACGGCCAGCGAACCTTCTCTCTACTATACTACCTTCGAGAAGAGAAGAAGAGAAGGAGAGAGAAAAGGCAAGAAAGGCTTGTTTGCAGACTTGACGAGGCAGTGGCAGCAGCAGCAGCAGCAGCAGAGTTGCATGCACACGGCCAAGAGAGAGAGAGAGAGCTTGTAAGGCTCACACTTATTCATTCTATTGCTGCCGACGCTGATTTTACTGCAACCTGCACATCGCTCTCTGCACGCCTCGCGTATATAATATGAAAGGAAGAGAGAGAAAAATTAATCGGTGTCGACACGCCGTTGCCGCTGCCGCTACGTTTGTTTTTATCGATTATTGCGTGCGCCCGTCGAACCCCCGTCGCTGTCGAGCATATGCGTAGGGGTTGTTGCATTTGTCTCTTGCTTTTACGTATACATGACAGACGAGACTCGGCACAGTGCGAAATTAGCGCGTGTGAACTCTGTTGAAATCGTAAAACCATCTTTTTTCCCCCATTTGACGTATAGTCGACGCAACTACTTATAATACGTACTTAAAACCTCGTAACGATCTTCATAAAAGTTCATAGTCGTAACAATGATTTTACTATCTCGCGCGCGCGCGCTTAGCGTATTCAATATAAGTCCAAATGGTCGCAGTAAATTTTTACACCCCATCGGTCACCTGTGATCTTCGGCCTCATATTCGCCAATATAATATAATAGACAGCGAGAGAGAGAGCCGTAAAAATTCGAACATCGAAATTGCGAGGATATGCTTTTTTTCCTCACTTGACGCTCTTCACTCGATTCTTACATTATATATGGCTGCTGTACTAATCAATCAATGCCTTCTTCTTTTTAATATACGACTCGTGTGTCCCAAAAATAAGTTTCGAGCCGTGATGCGTCTCTTGCGCAAATTAAAAAGCCTCGGAACGATTACGCGAATAAATATAACACTGAAAGGGCTGCACCTCCTGCAGTTCGTGTAAAATAATTTACGACTGCTGCTGTACTGCTGCTGATGCTGCTGCTGTAGTTTCACACCACATGTAACTCTTGCACGCGCGCGTGGGTGTCTTTCTCCTGTTTATTTTTCTTACCTCGGCTTCGGTGTCTAATAAATAAACCCCGACCGAGCCCGTGCGTTATAACACAGCAAAGACGTCGCGTCGCGCGTTTTTCCTCCTCAGAGAGCTGGAGAAGAATGAAAGATAATGCGGTGGGGATTAAGTAAAAGTTTACGTCGCTGATATTTTTTCTTCGCAGCGTGTACGTCCTACATGCTCCGCAAGTAAAGTCTCTTGTGGCTATTTTCATTTTTCGACTCTTAAATATAATACGCCACGTACGTATTATATTATATATTTATAGGTGTGAAACTGCTGCGGCTGCTATTTTATTTTTGATTTTCTAGATCGGAAGGATTATGAGTGAAAAAAGGAGGAAAAGGAGCTACGACGACGTTTAGATGGAATCGCGCGACATTATAGGAAAAAGAGCGAACGAGACGACGCGAGCCTTTAACCCCCATTTAATCGAGTGTGAAAGGATTTATTGTGTGCCGTGCTTTTAAATACATTTTTGATGTGTTTTCTCTTAATATATACAACTTTTTCGAGAAATAGGTGAAATATGACATGTACATCGATATCTAAATCCATCTGCGTTCTTAAATCACGCGAGGATACACTTCGAGTTGAGAGAGGTATTTTTTCCATTGCACGTACATACACACGAATACATACATGCATGTACGAGGGTGTTTGCTTTCTATAATATTCGAACCCCGAAGATTCCAATCGCGGATATAACAGTGTATATTTTCGTACTCGTGCAGTGTTATGTGCGCGCAGCCGAGAATACTCGGAGGTACATATTTCACCGGTTCTCTGCGTGGTAAAAGATAACTATACAAAGATTTATCGAAAATTCGTGCGACTGCTATACAGATGCACGCACACACAGACGTATATACCCCAGCATACAGAGAAACGTCCGTATGTATTATTAACTTTAATTGTAATGAATTAAAAACTTTGCTTATATACAAAAGCCCCGATACATTCGGATAAACCTTTCTCTCTCTCTCTCTCTCGGTTGATTCGCAAAAGTAAATTACGTTTTCAACGCGATCGCTATGCATTGAAATACGCAGTATCATAATATACGGAAGCTTCGGCAGCGGAGCCGCACGTTCATCATCGTGTATATTATAAATAAAAATCGAGAAATGCTCGGGCGACGATGCGCGACGCTGCGCGCAGTGCAACGTAAACGCATCAGCGAGCATTATACCTCGACGCAGCGTTGCGCGCACACATCCACACACACACACACACACACACACACATTGCCGCAGGTGTGTTTGTCTCTCTCTCTCTCTCTCTCTCTCTCTCTCTCTCTCGTGCATGTGGAGGGCTTGTGTTGCTGCTGCACATGCATGCAGTCTGGATTAAAAAGTACTGCGCGCTGCTCAGCAGTTTTGTTTGACTTGCTTATTTTATCGTATAACCGGAGGAAATATTTTCGAGTAGCGCCGATGATAGGCTCGCGCGCGACCGACCGCATACACTTCGTGTGTGCGCGAGAAATTTCGAGGGCGTTTCCATCTCGATAACCAAAAGTGGACGTTGCAGCAGCGGCGCATCATGTCCTGTTATACATGCACAGCTTATAATACACGATGTGAAAAAGACCCGACCAACCGCTCGGATAGATGATAAATCTCGCGTCGAGTAAATGTATATTTTCCACAAATAATAAGCAAAGTCGTCGTCGTCGTCGTCTCTCTCTGTGTATATAAAATGAAATTTTTAACGCAAAAAGCCCGTATATTATACGTATGCCCTACGTGCAATTAATGTGTATCTTCTCACGTAAAACAATTTTGATAAAAAGGCCTTGGAACGGCGAGGAGGAAATCGCATCCTATCTCTCGCCTCTGCCTGCCCGACTCTTTCCTCTTACTCATTTATAAATTTATTATACTTACGAAGAAAGGCTTGATAATTAATTCGCTGTTTCTTAAATTCAACCCTTTATTCATACATAAACACATAGAGAGATAGAGGGGCAATAAAACCATCGACGCTATTATGATCGTAAAAGTAAACAACTGCAAGGCGATTTCAGATAGAGCAGCAGAGAGCCCATAACTGCAATAAAGTGCGACTACTATCGATCGAAAAGAGAGAAAAAAAATACACGAGCGCGCGGAGCAGTTGTTGAATTTTACAACAAAAAGACGCTATGTTACTGCGATGCTTAACGAGCGGGAGAATTTTTCGCGCGTAAATTACGCTTGTTAGTTTACTCGATGTTCTTTTATTTTTTCTCTCGTTTCGTACTTTTTCCCCCCTATTTTTTTCTCTTACTTTTTCACGAGGAGCGTCGGGTGTATTTGCTCAATATTTAGACTCGGAGCA